TGGTTCCAACCGTGACACACATAAATATAAGCGTATTAATATATAGACTCTTGCACACGCGTTCACATAAACACAAATAGAGGAAGGGAGAGAGAGAGAGAGAGAGAGAGAGAGAGAGAGGGTGAATGTAGCGCTTAAAACTAAATAGTGCCGTTCATTTTCACACTTCAACTCGAACTTCAAACATGATCTGAATATTTGTCTTAGATTATTAATTATATTGTGGTCGATCATAAATGTGATGGTCGATGTGTGCACGGATTGCACTTAGTTTCGACATATGTCAGGGCAATCTGCGAGAGAGGTGGAGCGCGTCTGCACAATGAATAGCAGTATGTAGACAAAGGAATTCTAAGTGGCTGCGAAAGTCGAAAGTACTTGAACAAAAATAAAAAAATACGAAATTCTAACAGTTTGTCCCAAAGATCAAGTCCCATTAACACCTTATTATTATTATTATTATTATTATTATTATTGTTGTTGTTGTTGTTGTTATTATTATTAATAATAATAATAATAATAATTGAAAATATATAGTAAGAAATAATATAGACGGTCTTGTCGATTATTTTTAATCGAACTTATTAGATAGATAGATAGATAGATAGAATAGATAGATAACAAGAAGATAGATAAAAATAAAGATAGGAATGATAATAAAACGGATATAAAGGACATATATATATATATATATATATATATATATATATATATATATATATAGCATCAATAATAGGTATAAAAGTTAACTGCAACATCTTAACTTTGACATAATTGGATAAATAGAAATGAAAAATATTGAGATAGATGAATGCTTATGAAATATATATATTTTATATATATTTATATATATATATATATATAGAGAGAGAGAGAGAAAGAGAGAGAGAGAGGGAGAGGGAGACAGACAGACAGACAGAAAGACAGACAGGTGGAGAGCACATTTGGCTCGATCAATGGATAAAGGCTGGCTGGTTTGGTTTGTGCCACTCATCATATTGTGTTGGTCATCTTTCTTTCCAAAATCAACATTTCAATTCCTGTCGATTATGTAGACTTGGACAATGATTACTGCTTCTTGAACGTAACATATACTTCTGACTCTAGGAAAATTAACTAGCTTTCTTCGAGAAACAGCATCTGTAGAGAGACATATAATTGAATGGAATTAAAACTAATGTATCACACATAACGTTCCTCGAAAGAACGTTTTCAGACTAATAATGGTCCTTTCGAGAGTCGACAACGTATCGTAGCGTATTTTATTTCTCAATTTTGTCAATCAATTAGTCACTATTAGTCTAACAGTACGTCTTTCTTTATACGACTCGCTCTTGGCAGATTCCTATGAAATACAATATCACTTTTTCCACTGAACGGTGTCTATAAGTTTCCTTCGATTTCCTTGTTTTATGCGCGGTGTCCCTTCCGGATATTGGCGATCATGATTCACCGAAAATTCCTACTGCTGTGTTTCAGCTCAAACCAGACACCAGGTTCCTTGACATTGTGCAGTTTCTTTCAGTCAGACGCGTGTAGCTTAAAGATTTCACTTCAGCCAGATCGTTACCCACGAGTGAAAAACAAAACAATATCTAGCAGTAAACTAGATTATTTTCTTTGGTTGTAACTATAAGCGAGCGAAGTAGAGACAAGGCTTTTTTTAATGGTGCACAGTTCTACAAGGCCCACTCTGTCTCTTCTGTTTGCCTTTTCACGAGATGGCGAGTTTTATAGACAAAAAAAATTCTTTGTCTTGTCATCTTCGTCTATAAAATTAATTAATGTTTTCTTCGATCACTTTCTCTCAGTCTGAGCCTCTGGCTCTTGTACTTTGAAGTTGACTCCAGTTACTGACAGCCATAAGTCGAAGGAAAATGTCCTGTATCTGGATGTGCGACAGGTCCCGTTGTTTTCAATTTAACAATACCGCACCTTGACTCATGTTGCTATAATCTCCCTTTATGGCTCTTAGAAGTTTTTCTCCTTTTGATAAGGCTACCACACATTGATTCGCCATGCATTCACACAAGCTCGTCAAGTAAGCAGATCACAGCTTACCACTGTTTCTCTGAACCTCGATATGATACATGATTTAGGTTTTCCAAGTCGACCTTCTTCATTATGTTTTCAAGGATATTTCAGCTGTCATTTCCCGATTCTGAGTGTTGTTTTTGTTTCTATTTTCTTTAAAATTTCCTTGTTCCTTACTTACTCCGTCCATAGAATTTCCAGCATCCTTCTGTATAGCCATATTTCTGTCTCCACCAGTTTCTAACTTCCAGGTGGTGTGTTCCTTTAGGATGTCGTCGATCATTGTTCTTCAGAGTTTTCTGTCCTTTGTGAGTCTTAATGAGTTTTGCCGCTTTGTTATCTCTCCTAAACCTTGTTCCGTCATCTATCTAATCAAGCACGCTAAGTAGGTTATACGTTGTTTTATGCCTTGAATTTCTCCTGTGAGTATCAAATTTTCCAAGCCGTCTTTCATCATTATATGCCCTAGAAATTTCAACTATTTCTTCCTGATGTTAATTATAAGTGTCCTTTTTGTTACCATTTTTCATTTTTGATCCATGTTATTCTCAGCATTCTTCTCTCGACACGCATTTCTGGTACGTCATTTTTTTTCTTCATCTCTGAAGAGATTATCCAGCTTTCACTGCCGTATACGACGACTGATATTACATATATGTCCTAATAGATTTGTTCAGTTTCTTGATATTTTGCTTAGCTTTTGGGAGGCATCTTTTGCTATCCCAATGCGCCTCCGTATTTCAGTGTCGCACTTCCCGTCCTCTGTTAAATCCCGTCCCACATATTTAAATTCTTCTATTAGTTTGAATCCTCAATATGTAGTTTGCATGTTTCACTCTTCCTTTTTGCTAGCAATCTTACATCACGGTTCGATGCTTAAAATTAAGAGTCTATGTTAAAATGGTCCTCGGTCTTGGGATTTAAATTCAGACATAATATTTGGCCAAAAAACGTCACTCCTTGCTTAATTTTCGAACCCACGTGAAAAAAGTATATCACGTCCAATTCGATTTCATGTATATCTTTGATTTTCATTCTTTAATCAATTTATTTACCAATTCCTTTCTTTTTGTACTCGGTACTAAATATGTTTTTTAATTTTTTTTTTTTTAATTGAAGTGAATTTATTCTACACCCTTCTTGAAAACATTGTTTGACAATTAGATCTTTGATTTCTTTTTCTGGTTGATACAATTTTGGACGTTATTTTTTATTCCTGGTTCATAGACGTGGATTGTTCGTCTTCCATGAGAATTTAATGCTAGTACATGGCCGTATTAGCACTACCCCCGCACTCGGTCTTGAGATTTAAATTCGGATGGACAAAAAAAAAAATAAATTAAAATAACGTCACTCCCTGATAAATTTTCGTCAACGAAGCCACTTAAAAAAGTGTATCGCCGTTCGTCTGAATGGTATATATCTCTTTGAATTCAATGCGTGCCATGCACGTAGTTCATGGACTCCGTGTTTGTTGTTTTTTTTGGTTTTTTTTTTTTTTGCTTTTGCTTGTTTGTTGTTGTTGTTGTTTGTTTTTTTTGTGCGTGTAATAAAAGTAGATAGGATTTCCTATCGCCC